CCGCCAGGGCATATGTCCTGGGGGCCGGGGGAGGAACAATCACAGAGCTGGTGGAGGGAAATGCAGGGAGGGGTGCCACGGTTGATGACGAGGCCACAGCGGTGGGGGCAGCCCCTGCCATGGAGGGCTTAGTGGTTTTAGCGGGGCCCTTTCCTTTCATCCCACCCTGGCCCTTCCGGCCAACCGGGGGGGGTTTCCTAGAATCTGGGTGGGCGGTGGGTGCTGCAGCAGCAGCGATCACCCCGGTGCCTCCTGCTGCCGGTGCCCCAGCAGGGGGGGTAGCAAGTATCTTGACAATAGTGGGGGGGGGACCTTGGGGGTCGGGCAGGGGTGGTGGTGGGGGAGGGACAACTAGTTTTGTTGAAGCGGCCTAACCCCTCTCATTCCCCGCCATTGTGAGCAGGGAGAGACAGGGAGACACCGGAAGGAGGAGCGGGGAGGGGAGAAGTGGAGTAGGCTGCAGGCGGGGGGGGGGGAATGCCGAGGGGGTTGGACTGGGGGGGGGACAAAATCGGGGTCCAGTAATAGGGGCAAGCTGTGGGATAAGCAATCCAGGGGGTGTGTGTAGACCCACACACGTTTGTCCAAGGAGTCTCGGTTGTTCGGCTGTTATGTCTGGTCCGAAAGGCAAAGTTCAAAGCGAACAGCTGGATTCGAAGGGAGATAGCAGGTTGCCAGCAGGGACGGATGGCGGGGGGGCCGTGACAGTTGCAGTAAGGGTGGGGAGTTAGCGGCACCGATGGATCGGGGGGGGGTCTCCACGCCACACCCCCTGTGCCGCCACAAACACAAGTAACCACAGTCAAACTCCCCCCACGAGAGTATAATTCAGAAAGTTACTCAGTCTTACGGCCCCCTTCACGATGATTTATAGCTCTCCTGGATTATTTCTCCTGTCTTCTGAAATCTTCTTCTCCAGCTGTGTTGGCTGTGTTCCAAGGCTTCCGGCATGCTGAGAATGTTGCAAAGTCCAAGCTGCTAGCAAAACGGCTGGGTCTGGAGGTTTCCACTCCCCCCTCTGGACAGCAAAATCGGCAATCTTCCCCCCCCCCTCCTCCAGGGGCTCAGCTGAGGCAAATAGCTGTGCCCGAAAGCAGGTGTGGGGGGGGGCGGGTGCTGGCGGCAAGCTGAGGGCCGACAGCACTTAGACGGAAAAAAAACCAAAAAATCAAAAGAAAACAAAAAAAGCGTCTGGCCCAGTCGGGTGGGACTAAGGCAGGTGCAAAAAGTAAGAAAAATCCGGGCCAGGGGGCTTTAGGAAAGAATAGAAAGCAAATAGCTGAGGAGCAAGCAAAGGACGTTCTGTTTCCCAACAGGGAAGGGTCCAGAACAATCAGGAACCTTCTGGAGACAATTAAGACAGGCTGATTAGAACACCTGCAGCCAATCAAGAAGCTGCTAGAATCAATTAAGGCAGGCTAATCAGGGCACCTGGGTTTTAAAAAGGAGCTCACTTCAGTTTGTGGTGAGAACTGTTGGAGGACTGAGGTGTATAAGCATTATCAGACACCAGGAGGAAGGTCCTATGGTGAGGATAAAGAAGGTGTTAGGAAGTAGCCCAGGGAGTTGTAGCTGTCGCACAGCTGTTCCAGGAGGCACTCTAGACAGCTGCATTCCACAGGGCCCTGGGCTGGAACCCGGAGTAGAGGGCAGGCCCGGGTTCCCCCCAACTCCTGGTCAAACACAGGAGGAGTTGACCTGGACTGTGGGTTCAGAAAAACGGCCAAGCTGAGGGCTGCCGTGAAGCTTCCCGGTGAGCAAATCTGCCAATAAGCACAAGACCCACCAAGGTAGAGCAGAAACTTTGTCACAATATGTTAGAGTCTCCAGACCAGTTCAAAGGAGCTTCTGTAATACCACACTGGTTAAAAAGAAGCCAAACACAATCCCCATTTAGGCATTCCAGGCCGTGGCTCCCTGTGACAGGGCGCTAAGCAGAAAAACTGCTTAGCCAACCCTCTGTTGCTCCAGCTCCAATTAAGGGAGGTGAATTGGAACTGGGTAGGCCACCTGGCCCTGACTGGGGAAGCTTGAACAGCTGCTGCCTCAACAGGCTGGGGCCGGATAAGAGCCCCAGGAGCAGGAACCCGGGGGGAGGGGAGCTGGAAAGAGGAAAGCTGTAATAGAGGAAAGGCAGTGAGGGGAAGCAGAGAGAGATAGCTTGGCCCCTCTCTCCTGCTGGTGGACTGCAAGAAGGGGACTACTTGTGTAGTGGAAAGGTGGTGGAAACATGGCCTGTAAATAAAAGCACCAGGTGGGCACTGCACCCAAAGGTCTCTGTGTGACTTTCTCAGCCCAGCAGGTGCAGGAACCAGGAGGGTCCTGCAGGAAGGCTGCTACACTCCCATTCAGACAAACAGATCTAATATAGTGAGAGGTTACTGAAAATCCAGTTCACTGTATGTGAGGTTCTACTAATCCCAAAGGATCAGACACTTACTCCAGGTCAATATGTATCTCAGATCTTACCCAACTATCACGCTGTCACCCAATCCTCAGTAAACTATCTAAAGATTTATTAGTAAAAGAAAAGAAAGTTACTGAATGGTTAAAAGATTTTGTACATTACAAATGCTTGCAAGGTCCTTCTATTAGATTTGTAGCAGTGATGAATGAGCCTGCTGGCTAAGTCTCTCTGGAATCATCCCAAAAGGTTAGAATCCAAAGGCAGCTTAGATGTAGAGTCTGTTAGAGTCTTTCCATGCATTTTTCAGGGTATTCCAAATAACTACTTGGAAGATTTCAGTCCAACAGCTTAAACTTTCCTTGTTTAAAGTTCTGCAGACTAAAGATGCAGGATTAGGCTGGAAGCTTCACTATTATAACTGAAGCAGGCTGTCAGGTGCTTTGAGCACAGCATGTGACTGAGGATTCTTCTTTGTTGAGCACACACTGACCCAACACTTTGAAGTTAATATTCAATTTCCTCTGCATACACAAGTGATCTACAGGGCAGTGGTTCTCAGCCTGCAGGCTACATGCGGCCCAATTACTACACAGTTGCAGTCCAGCTGTGTGCTAAAGGCTGCAGGGCCCGCGTGGCAGCATCCAGGCTGCGAGGCTGGCCTGCCAGCAGGATCTGGCCAGGCGAGGAGGGCCACCTGCGCCATAGCAGATAACTGGGTGGAGGAAGCGCGCAGGGGAATCGCTCCCCACCCCACCTCCGCCACCTTTGGTCTGAGTGGGAAGCCATCCCTGGCTTCCCGCCAAACAGCTGATTCGCAGGAAGCCGGCAGGGGGGGCGTGGAGAAGCAGAGTGGGGCGGTGCATTCAGGGGAGGAGGCGGAGTGGAGGTGAGCTGAGGCCGGGCGCGGAGTGGGGAGCTGCTGGTGGGTGCTCTGCACCCACCAAATTTTCCCGTGGGTGCTCCAGCTCCGGAGCACCCAGGGAGTCGGCACCTAAGGCACCACTTTTGATGTGATCAGTGGGGGGAGCGGCCGCTCTCCCTGCTCCCCCCTAGCTAGCTTCCCCCACCCCTAGGAGCCAGAGGGACCTGCTGGATGCTTCCTGGGAGCTGCCCCAGGTAAGCACCATCAGGACTCCCCACCTCGCCCCCCGGCAGGTGCCTCTGGCTCTTAGGGGTGGGGTGGGCAACCACTACAGTGGCCCAGGAGACCCTCCTGCCCGCTTCTGGGGGCAGTCAGGGGACAGGTGAGGGGGCGGATGGGGCAGGGAATCTGGGGGGGTTGGATGGGGCAGGAGTTCCGGGGGGCGGGGGTGGGCAACGACCCCCTCGTGGGGTGAGGAGGGAACCCGTTAAGATTTTGGCAGCTCATCACTGTCTGTAAGTGTTACGTGGGACACTGCAGAGAGACATCTCTGAGGAACTTGGGAATGGCGGGGTGGAGAGCCACTGATTGTTACCTGCTAGGCAAGGTTTGGATTGGCAGAATCCTGAAGAAGTTTGCTGGCAGGATAGACAAGCTGGCGTGTCAGGCTTAGCATACATAGCTTAGCAGCAGCAACCCTATCACAATTCTGAAAACAAGAGATGATGCGAGGGAGGGGCATGCGGGGTCACATTCCCCCCTCCCTCCACCCCAATTTGCTGTTTGGCTTGCACTGAGCATGCTCACAAGGACTGAGCATTTTCAGTAACAGCTGCTGAAGCCACTGTGCTGTTCCCTCTCCGCCCACACTATCGACAGGTATGGGTCGTTTTTGCTGGGAACCCGAGCAGATTTTAACAGTGAGGAATAGTTCAAAACATGAGGCTTTTGAAGTGGAAATGTGGATAAGGGCAATAAGACAGGACAATTACAACAATACCTAGGGTATTTGGGGATACTGTTTCATGAAATGGCCAGCATCCCATGTCCTTTGCTACTTCAGAGAAGGAGGAATTCATCCCACTACAGAGTGGGGCACAGTACCTTATCAAGTAGCTTGGTCCAAGGGTAAATTTGCAAAGGCTCTTCCGTAGACAACTGAGAAATAGCCTGTCCAAAAAGCAACAGCAATTGAAACCGTTAGGATTGTGGTAATGTAGTTAACTGAGTGTGCGTGGGGATGGGTGGGAAGAGACTCTGCATATCTCCAAATTCAGATCAACATGGGCATGCAATGGTCTTTAATGTTCATTCATCAGTCATCACCAAGAGTTCTAACTCATTAATATTTGTCCAAACTTTTTCCCCTTTTCCACAACTTACTTGCTTCATTTCTGATTTAAATCTGTTCATTATAAATGCATAAGGTTTGTGAGCCTGCAGTCACAGACCCTTGTCCAATTCACTTAGCTCTAAGCATTTACATGGGCTGGCCTTTGATACTGTCCAATATTGTTGGCTGTGAAATAATCAGCTACTGAGAGAGCTCTTATTTCATTTTATAAGGATATTTGTGAAACATCTTCAGATAAACTGATTGAAGCTTCACTCATTTATACTAGCTGAGGATCTGGCCCTAAATCCTTCATATTTTTAAGGTGCTCTATAGAACTGGGATATTTTGTGGTCATCACTCGTTAGGAACATGGTTTTTTTTGTTTTTTTTTTTAGTGTCATTAGGAAGAAGACAAAATGCTTCATCCATTAAGAAGAAATGTCAGGACTTTTCAGGAAATGTATACCTGCTTCTGAGATTATTACGACTTCTAGCAATCTTATATCTACAGTTTTAGTGGCAGTGGTACAAAATGAGAAGTCTCCCCAAGGAACAGAGACTGGAGAGCTTTGAAAAAAATATTAAATTGCTGCCTCAAATCATAATATATGACCATTAGCTCCCCTCTAAAGTACAATATCCCCCACTGCCAAAAAACAAACCCACCACGACCACAAGACTATGAAAGCAAGACACTCCACTGTATGTGCTTCTCCACAGGGGAGAGGAGGTGAAAACAAACAACACGAGGGAAGGTTCTCCCATTGATCCAGTAACTGTTTGAAAGATAGGAAACAAAGGGTACGAATAAACAGTCAATTTTCACAGTAGAGTGAGATAAATAGTGGGAGTCTCCCAACAATCTGTACTGGGACTGTACACTGCTGTTCAACATATTCAGAAATGATCTGGAAAAAGGGGTAAACAGTGAGGTGACAAATTTTGCAGATGATACACAATTACTCAAGATAGTAAAGTCCAAAGCTGATTGTGAAGAGTTACAAAGAAATCCCACAAAACTGGGTGACTGGGCCACAAAATGGCAGATGAAATTCAATGTGGATAAATGCACAACTCAACTATAATCTCAACTATACAGGCAAAACGATGGGGTCTAAATTAATTGTTACCATTCAAGGTACAGATCTTGGGGTCATTGTGGATAGTTCTCTGAAAACATCTTCTCAATGTGCAGTGGCAGCCAAAAAAGCAAACAGAATATTAGGAACCATAACGAAAGGGATAGATAATAAGTCAGTAAACATCTTAATGACCCTATAGAAATCTATGGTATGACCATACCTTGCTGAAATTCTGGTCACCCCGTCTAAAAATATATATATTATGATGGGGAAAAGTACAGAGAAGACCAACAGAAGTTGGTCCAATAAAATATATTACCTCACCCATCTTGTCTCTCTAATATCCTAGTACCAACTCAGCTCCAACACCACTGCATATAACCTCTGTATATGACATTTTTTTGTCTGCTCTACTTTTGTTTGGTTAATGTTCACATGATGAATCTCTAATCCATCCTCAGTTGAGCTAGGAATACCTAAATTAGATTCCAAAACTCATATCTTCCTCATGTCTTGTCATTTATTGGTTACTCAAAAACAACAACAAAATCCCAGTTTAGGACTGTTTCTAGTTTAAATGAATTTGAAGAAGTTACAGACTATTCATGAGAAAAGGTATTGGGTAATTGAGGTAGGGGACTTTAGCCCCCTTTCTCCTTCCCAACCCTAAAAATAGGGATTGTATTAATAAACAAAGAAAACACTAAGTTTGGAACAGTGTTGGATCATATTAAAGAAGTTCTGTATTAAAATCACAAATGAGTTTGATTCCCCATAGTTTAAATTCCAGGGTATTACTAATTAAGAGGTCTCTTGTTTTTTGGTCTCTTATTTTTACTGTTTCTCTCCCTCTCTGTGTGAAACTTGCAAACTGCTACTTGTGTTAGTATGTTCTAAAACAGAGTCTGTTCTCAAAGCAATACTTCGTAACAACAACTACTGACAGAGAGAGAGAGAGACTCAAAGCGATACTTGGTAACAACAGAAACAGCACACAGAGACTCCCCGCCCTTTTGTTGTATTTATCTCGCTTTGTTAACAATTGTGATTAAAATAGAGATTGTGGATGGATGCTTGGTGTGGATAATAAATGAATAATCAGGGAGGTGCCAGCCTAGGAGTTCAGTATTGATCGGCCGAAGAATGCGCAGAGTGGAGACAACCAGAGGGCCCCCGGAGGGCAGACTGGAATCCACCCAACAGCCTCAAGGATGGGAGCACCGAAGAACAAGATAATAGCTGGCAGCATGGAGGCATCAGGGATGTGCCATCTGCTGATTGATTCAGCAACAGCATGATGAAGCAATTCCCATAGACTGGCATAGGAATAAATTCCTATAAAAATGGACTCTAGAAACTGAGAACTTTGGGGTCTGATTCTGCAAACCAACTTCCAGGAGCATCAGATGAGCATCTGACAAGGCCCTGCTCCCTCCTCGTATCCAGGCCACCTGGCCAGTGGCTTGGCACGAGCAATTTTAAGGCTGGTAACTATAATAACAACCTTGCAGAACCTGTGTGTGTGTGTATGAATGAATGTGTGAATAAATATGAAATTGAATGGAATGTTATAGCTATAACTAACTGCTTACTGTGATTCTTTCTGTATTCACAGTAAATGTGGCATTTTGCCTTATTCCCGTTAATAAGATCCTGCTGGTTTTTATTTTATTGGTATAACAACAGAAGCTCATTTATTTCATTTTATTAAAAATGGACAAATTCAGTCATGATACAAACTGTTCATTAAAGTGTTATTCAACAGCCATTAGTGTTTTGTTCTAGCCCTTCATATAAAAAAGTCGTGTATTTAAATTTGTGTAGCCAATACTATAACATTTTTAAGGGAATTCTAAGATTTTGATATATTGATCTTCCATATCATAAAGTCACTACTTTGGATTTATAATTCTCCATCCCTCCACCCAACCTTAATTAATATTCAGTGTTCTCACTGTGCTATGCTCATGCTTTTCTGGTGAAGAGGAAGGAAGGGAAGAATGTCCATAAAGCATCTGAAACATCATGTATTTTCAAGTCTAGATTTTTAGAAGTATGCAGGCTCAGAAATCCTCATATGTATAATGTATTAGCATTTGAACTAATGAGTCCTCTTCTTCTGAAAAGTAAACCTTTGATGAGAAACTGAAGATAGGCTAACATGACAAAATATTTTAATAATGATAAGGGATACTAGAATGATGAAATATTAATTACTGTTGGTTTTCAGTGATTTGCCTGCTATGCTAAAGTCTGATTAGCAAGTCACCAAAGGAAAACTTTGCTATAATAAGAGTTGTCTTACTAACTGTTAGTGGTCTACTGGCATTCATAAATAATAGTTCTGAGTAATTTCTTTTAATTTTAGATATGCACAAATGTTATATTTACAATCATCTTCATTGCCTGCTATAATTGTTATGAAATGGTATAGTACACTTTTAAACCATTATTCTAGTCTACCTGAGCAGACCGGAATGGTTGGGGTTCCAGCCCACTTTGATTATCATACACATTGTAAGGAGAGTGGTCAGTTTGGATGAGCTATTACCAGCAGGAGAATGAGTTTGGGGAGGGGGGGGTGAGAAAACCTGGATTTGTGCTGGAAATGGCCCACCTTGATTATCATACACATTGTAAAGAGAGTGGTCACTTTGGATGGGCTATTACCAGCAGGAGAGTGAGTTTGTGTGTGGGGGGGCGGAGGGTGAGAAAACCTGGAATTGTGCTGGAAATGGCCCAACTTGATTATCATACACATTGTAAGGAGAGTGATCACTTTAGATAAGCTATTTCCAGCAGAACAGTGGGGTGGGAGGAGGTATTGTTTCATGGTCTCTGTGCATATAATGTCTTCTGCAGTTTCCACAGTATGCATCCGATGAAGTGAGCTGTAGCTCATGAAAGTTTATGCTCAAATAAATTGGTTAGTCTCTAAGGTGCCACAAGTACTCCTTTTCTTTTTGCGAATACAGACTAACACGGCTGTTACTCTGAAACCAGCTATGGAGAGTGATTCTAACTTTTTTTTTTTATTTTAGATGGAATAAGGGCCAAATTCTGACATCTATCACACCAGTGCAAATCCAGTGGTATAAAGGAGACTTGAATTTGGCCTGGGAATAGAGCAGACAGAACGTTTTTGACCAGATTTTTTTTTCAGTGAAAAATGGCTTTTTTTGACAAAATGAACATTTTTCCAAGAGATGTCTCTTTCTGACAAAAATGTTCAAGTTTTCATCAAAAAACTGAAAAACAGTTTTAAACTGTTTTGTGTGGCAATGAAAATTTGAGTGAGTTGGTTGCCAAATGACAAAAATGATTTCCAGGTTTTCAATGTTTTTATGAACTCCCTGCCCTCCAAAAAAAATTCAGAACAATAACTGATGAAAATGAAAGCAAATTCATTTTCATTATTTTTGTTCCTGTGGAAAAAAATTGATTTTGTGACCAGAACTACCCAGTAAATATAAGCACAGGTCAAATTCAAAGATTGTGTGTGTGTGTGTGTGGGGGGGGGGGGTTATTCGTGTTGGTCCCAGGATATGAGAGAGACCATGTAGGTGAGGTAATATCTTTTTATTGGACCAACTTCTATTGGTGGAAGGGACAACCTTTCAAGCTTCACAGAGCTTTACTTCAGGTCACTGCCCCTGTGCAAGTGAGGACATGAAGAAGATCTCTGTGAAGTTCGAAAGCTTGTCCCTTCCCTCAGCAGAAGTTGGACCCATAAAAGGTATTACCTCACTTACCTTGTATCTCTCATATATTAAAAATAGAGTTGAAAAATTTAAGTTAATGACAGGTGGTGAATTTATCTTCATAACTTAGTTTAGCAATATTTCTGTAACTGATTCTTCCTTTGCACCGACTCCTGACTAACCAAATACAAATGCTTGTGCAGGACATAAAAATGCATACATACTATGTCTCATTTAATTACTGGGGACCTAATGAGCCCTACCCTTACATGGAGGAAGGCTGGTTTAAGGAATGTTACACAGCCTCTGCAGAGCCAATGTAATCTCTAGGTGGAATTACATGTCCTGCACTCCGGGGAGAGCGGAGAGAGCATGTACCCCAAACTAAGTTGAGGGGATGCCAATATATAGCCCTATTTCCCCTTACAGATTGGCCAGTGCAGTTGCTTCTACTCACAGGGAGTAGTAATGAGCACATAGCTTCTTCATGCTCATGAGCTCCAAGCATCCTGAGGCAGACTGCTTCTCAATGTCTCGTTTAGATGGGGCACCTCCACAATATCACTTACTATGGGACTGTGCCTAAAGGGTACAATTTAGCTTGAAAGCAGATCTTGAAATATCTTCAGGAAACCTTTAAGAAAGAAGCTGATGTGAAAAATGATGGTGACCCAACCAGCTGCAAGGCAGAGGGAGGATGCTGGAATTCTTACCAGGGTGTTGTTCCTGGACCTAGCTACTGGAAGAAAAGAAAAGCTCTCTCTCTCTCTGCATCTTCCACATAAGATCCTTTTGCTGTTCAAGGTAGGTAGATTCCAGAATGCTGTCTTCCCACTACTTCAAATGCCTGGTGCTGGCAGGGGGTTCTCTTATACTCCTCCCTAGTGTAGTCTTGTCAGTTTGCCTGCTACTAAGACTTGTCAACAATTTAAAAAGCAGCAGAAACACTAGTGCTTTCTGTCTGCAGACTCAGAAAGGCAATCCCCCATAAGGTTAACATTCATCTTGATTTGTAACATTATATTGTAAAGCTGAGAAATGGTGGGTGAAATCCTGGCCCCCTGAAGTCACTGACAAAACTCACATTTATTTCCCAGGGGTACAGGATGTCAGCTACTACTTTTAAACAAAAACTTGAATTTTGAAGAAACTGATGGCTTGAGGAAAGGAGAACTTGTGGCACCTTAGAGACTAACCAATTTATTTGAGCATGAGCTTTCCTGAGCTATAGCTCAAGCTGTAGTCAAATACAGACTAACAGGGCTGTTACTCTGAAACCTGTCATGATGGCTTAAGGCCTCCCTCTGAGCCAGGAATGTGTTCTATTCACCACTGAGGAGCGGACTTTTAAGTCTTGTAAATAAGCATTTTAAAGAGATAATTACCAAGTGAAAGACTTATTTAATAGTTGTAAAACACTTTGGAATTGTCAGCCAAAAAGCATAACATTTTTAATAATTATTTCAACAAGTTCTCATTTCCAGAGATACACTTTATTACATTTTACATATGTCACAAAAATGTGTAACTCATTATGAGATCAAAATGTAGCACCCTGGAAATCAACCCCAGAAATCACTAAAGTCAGATATAAGGGGAAAACAAACAAAACAAAACAAATATATATGAAGTTTCCAATTCCTTTTAGCTTTGAGTGGTGGTAAAATAAATCTGAGGTTATCAATAGGCAATGTTTTGGAGGCTATATGAGACATGCTTTTTGCTAACTGGATCCACAGTGTCTGTTGCAAGTCAAGCTGGAAACTGCTGAGTTGTGCTGTGTTATCATAAAAAATGCATCTTTGTTCTTCTGTTTGTGTAGGTATAGAGGGCTTAAATACAATGTTTAATTAATCCTACCCTTGGGAGAATGGTACTTAGAAAATCTATATAAAAGACACTGTAATCTTGTCTGAAATAGATGAAATTCCAAACTTATCAGTTTGGTGCCATCCTTACTTTGCAATCTGAGAAGTAGTAATGGTTCTGGCTGCCTGAAATAAATATTTACCTTTTAGATCACATGGTGTGTCTCCCAATACTTTATAATTATTCATCAACTGCATGGGATTCAGAACTAAATTCTATTTAAAAAGTATTTTCCTGAAATAATGCAGAAGACCAAAGAATATTCATGCTATACTGTAGTCATATTTGTAGACATGAGATGTTAATGAATTTCCATCAGTTGTGACCTGAGTATGTGGATAATATATCATTAATCACATTAAGTAGATACCTTGTCAATTTCCAATAGATGAAGCGACATAAGATGTTTTTGCTTAAGTGTTACTCTAATATGAGACACATATGAAATTATATAATATGATGGTCTGTTTTTTTAAAAAGAAATTACAGTTTTCTCAGCATAGTGGTAGCTCATTGCTATACAGAGCTGTCGTGAGGCTTAAATTAGAGTTTGGAAAGTGATTTAAGATCCTCAGATGACCACTGCACTATAAATATAAAGTAGTATTTTAACATTATTTTCTTTATATACCAGAGTTGTTGTTTTTTGTCAAGAACGTGTTCAAACTTGATTTACCTGTATCTGCTTCTGCAAGTGTTGGACACTTAACTTGGGAACTCTAGGAGTCTAATGACAGGTGGATAGGAATTTTCTCTCTGACGTTGTTTGACCCCCATGAAATGTCCAGGAGAGCATTATGGAAGGTCATTATGTATCATACACATTTGGGAAAACTCATACATGCTCAGCAATCAGAGATGGTACCATCAACCTTGCATAGCTTTCAGCATGTATTTTTAGTAGTTAGATGCAGTTCAGAATTTAGAGCGGTCTCTTTATCTCTGACTGCAATAAGGGTGCAATATTCAGGATTGCTTTTAAGAGAGATTAGTTTTTGTTTTCTACCCCAGTTGCTTGGCAGGGGACAGCATTTACCTGCTCACGTAGCAGCTATTACAATAGCTATAGACTTTCCACCATTTCTATACTGATAAGACACAGCTTTAAAGTTTGAACACAAACAAACAGTCACAGAATTATTAGAACCCCTCCATTAGATTCAAGAATAGAGACTTAATCTCTCCTGTACCAGA